TTTTTTGCACATTATAATAATGGCCGCGAGTTTGCGTCAGATCGAAATCATCAGATTATTGAATGGGAGCTTTTTTTGTTGCACTTAACACCCCCTTATTTCAATTTTTTTTCTTTTCACTTTTAACCCATACGTACAACCACCCACATCATGCAAACGATCAGATTAGCATACCAATATTATTAAAAATACGTAGGACATTGATGCTATCAATATCTGATGCGCTCGAGTATTTCCATGTAACAGTATTTTTTACATATTGAAACATCTATAGCCGCTTCCCCCACTGGTGAAAAGGACTATATTATATACCATTTTTTCTTCTTATCATTTGAGCTTTGCAATCTAATATGTCTCAATGACGCTCGAGTAAATCCCCATTTTGCATCGTAGGCTCACCTGCTATAAGCCAAGTTTCAACAACTACCTCCTATGAGATTCGTCCTCTCTCTTTCATTGCAAGGCAACTAGTTGAAAACATAATGCATTCATGATTCACCAGAATCAACCCTCCATAGGTGATGCTAGGCTGAACCGCACATACATTGCTTTGCTCAGCTGTCCTCAAAGAACAAGCCTGAGGAAGTGAGATCGATAACATCTCCCTTTACGGAGGCATCATCTATGTGATCGACAGGAAACTTTATCCTCAAACACCAAAGATAAACGAGGCTCTTCAAGGCAGTAAGTTGCAAAGCCAAACTTCGATATCAACCTCCGATGAAATTTGGCCACTGTCTTTCAGTGCAGCTTTCACTACAAGGCAACTAGTTGAAAACCATAGCACAAAGACAAACACAATGCATTCATGATTCAACAGGAAACAGTGCTGTTTAAACCTGCCATTAGTCTCATCAGTGGTGCTGGGCTGAATCATAAATGCATTGCTGGATTGTGAAACACAGAGAACGAATCTCGTCGGCGCGACGCGACGACCTATGGCGGATTGAAACGGCACTGTCCGATGTTGAATCATCAATGTCTTGAGTTTTGGCTCTGGTATTCAACCAAAAATCTTGTTTCATAATGTAAACAATTAACGTGATATGGGAGCATAGATTTATTATTCATTTCAAACGGTGGAACAGGTTAAATGCATTCATTCAATCACTATTACGCTTTGTAATCGACGTGTAGCTTTCAACTATTCCTTATTTTTTCAATGAATCATCAGTTTTTCATCTCACAACCATTTTATTCTTGCAAGATTATCTTCAAAAAATATCTGAAAATCAAATTTGAAATTTCATATTTCAGCTTTGGGTTGGATGGCAAACAATGCCTTCTCAGATCGATATGCGAAATATCCGAAATTCCCATGAACATCAAAGACGAAGAAACTCTTCTTGAGAAAATAGTACATTTTGTTTTCACGTAAGTATCCAAGAAGTTATTTGAAAAAGTTATAGTAGAAAATTATATTTTACATTTAAGTGGCTGAGAATGGGGAATGTTCCTCCTGACGAAAATCAAGTAGTTTTCATAAAAGAGCTCTAAAACAACGCATTTTTAAACTTATCATTGCAACTTTTTTCTTTGAAAATTATTTAAATACTCAAAAAAAAGGAATGAAATAATGCATTCAACATTTAAAGGGATTCATTTCTATTTCACCATTTGGCTAATTGGTATAGCTAATAAAGGACAATGAATCTGTTACCTGTATGAGACAAACAAAGATGACATATTTCAGAGGCGTGCTGTTCAGTTTACTTATGTTCCGAGTTCCGAGACATTCTGTGACATATGACATTTTGTGTACCTAACCTATCTTCCTCTATATATAAATAAATAACAGAACAACTATTGTTTTTTTGGGTTGTGGAGGTAGTATTGAACTATAATTTATATTTTGCCTCAATTCTTGATTTATAAAGATAATTTTCCTTTTTAAAAGTAGAATATCTAGGTACGTATTAATTATCTCAACTTGATATACGCGCTGTTGCCAATATGTGAATCAGAAACAAATCCCTTTAAAAATTAAAACCCAACAGTTGAAACATCAATTTGAATACTTTTTGAAGTGAATTTGAAAAACTCATTAATTAAACTCAACTTTATTTTGTTCAAACTTGCATTTGCTGTTATAATCCAAATTGAGGAACATTCCCCATTGTCTTGCTTTCTTAGATGAGTTTTATATTGCGAAGCACGAAATCGGTTCATACTGACATGGCCAGTGTTGCCTGGTCAACTTCGTATTTATCAATGGATTTTCATCAGAAAAACAGAAAATTAAAACAGTAACAAATATATTTCATAAATACATAGGTACCACATACGAGTATATGTGGTAAAATTGCTACATTCTAAACCGTAACAGATACGAAGACGATTAAATAGGAGAAAAGGTAACTGTCATCGGGAACAATGCAATGGTCGAAAAAAATTTACGGGGACTCTCGCCTTTCTCAAGTTATACGGGGAAAACCAAAAATGCAGTTTTTCGTTTTATTCGAATGGAATTGTTATTTCGGAAAATATCAAAAAATTAAAAATGAAAACGTTATTGTGTTCGAAGTGTACTATAATGATGTAATAATAAAACGTCGATAAAACGTCGGTCGATAAAACGTTTCGTGTCAACATGGCCACCATTAACTTTTTTTTAATACGGACCAGTATTTTTTATTACAGATATTGATAAAGCGATACATTCAGAATCCAAGGGTGTATCTCATTTCATATTTTTATACCGTTTAATTTGAAATACCAACCACCATCAGTCACAACAATCAAATAGAATAAAAATTATTTTATTATAATATGTATGTAGGATTTTGATATTATCTTTACTTATTTTGTGTTTTGATTCTTGTAGATGTTCATACATTGTAGATTTTTTATCCAAACAGACGGGTTCATGGACCCTTGTGTCAAAATTTCCGTATAATATACTGCAGAACATTCACCACATTCTATTCTATGTACTCTATGTACTCTATGTATTCTATGTACAGTGGCAATGGCAGCACTGTATGAAATGGTTGTGACGTTTACTCCCAAATACAGTCGAAAAATTGTGAAATTGAGTGCGAGATGAATCTGGAAAAGTGCACCAAGTGAAAATACGGCTGCTGATATAGTCAGTAAGTTGAAGTTCCGTCACCAAATGTTGAATCACCTCCCAATTGTGAGAACTCCACCCAACAAATTGACCTTTGTACCTCAGAAATCGGTTTCAAATACACCAAGTGAATCGTATTGTTGCCAAATTGTAACAGATAGCGAGAATTTTGAGAAACTTCACTTTATGATTTATAAACCAAATAATTATAGCTGCAACTATGAACGATTCAACAAATTTATCGGCAAAGCATCTCCAGTTATATAATTTACTACTGAAGGCGAATCAGGACCAAACCAATTAGATCAAAGACGAGTTTCAAAGAACAACTTGTAAATTGATACAAAAATTGAATGAGACTAATCTCGAAATCGAAATATTGAAACGAAAATGTGTTGAAATGGAAAAAAGAATGAAACGAAATAATATTGTTGTTTTTGGTATTGAGAAAGAGGAAAATGAAAATATTATCAACAAAGTTATTGATACTCTGAACAGAAATCTAGGGTCTAAAAGTAAATGAAGAGCATATAAACGACATATATAGACTGGGAAAAGGATCCAGATCTCCTATACTTGTTGAAGTTATTTCAGCCCTTCAGAAAAAATCTTTATTCAGCAACAAGGAGAAACTCAAACAACTGAGGGAAAAGAATATTTCAATTGCAGATGATTCATCGGCAGCAGATAGAGAGACAATGGAGGTTTTGAGATATCATCAAAAAACCGCTCAATTGCAGCACCTAGATGCAAAAATAAGAGGCTTTGAACTTATCGTGAACGGAAAACCATACTCTATTGAAGAACTACAAAATAAATGAAAATTGGAAGACGAGAAAGAGGAAGGTTCTTCGATTGAAGATGGAATTGAGAGTGAGGAAGACACGTCCGTTGAAAAATCTGAAATGAAAAGAAAGAAGAGAAATCTCAAATACAATCTCGTAAATACCAGAAAAAATAAAAAATAAAGTAAATTAAATAAACTTCCAATTCATAATTAAATAATAAATTGTAAATCAAAAAGAAAAGATGGATACATACATTAGAGAATATGAAAACGAACCCATTTCTGCTAATATGATAGGAGACCTTGATTGCTTCAGGGACATCGTTGACCCCGGTGAGTTGAAAATTATACATATACGCATTGTTGCAAAAAATATACATTCCTTCTTAGTCTTTCATGATAAACTTTCAGTCGATACAGATGTAATAATACTTACAGAAACACACCAGCTCTCTGATCCCAACTTATACAGAATTCAAGGTTATCAATTGGTGTACAGTCATGGATCACTCAACAAAAATGATGGGATAATTATCTTTATGAAGAAGTCACTAAAAGTGACAACATGTTTACTACTGATTGGTGAAGTTGATGCACTAAAAATTCTGATTTCCACTTAAAAAAAAAGTTAATACTACTGCCATTTATCGTTCACCGAGCATTGATCCGAAAGTTTTTAACCAACATTTTCTGGAATATCTGAGAAATTTTCAAAAACAGAAACTAATATAATTATAGGAGACATAAATATAAATTTGATTGGAGATTCTGATTATATAGAGGAGTATAAGAATATCCTCAGTTACTTTGGATTTGTTTCATATATAAATGAGTATACACGAAGCTGTTTAGATCATTTTTTTGTTAATAAAAACACAAACTGCAGGGAAATGCAAATGAAATATTTCATCTCCAGATATAACATTACAGATCATAATCCAATAGGACTTATTTTCCATAACAAAGCAAAAAAGTCAAATGTGAAACAGAATGACTTCAAATTATTCTTAATCACGACAAATTGAGGAATTCTTTGCGAAATGAAACCTGGAATGAACTTCATCAAGAGAATAGTGTAGATAATATTGCTGCTAAATTTATTGAGAAAATGAAAAATTACACAGAATTTCATACAAAAAAAGTTAAAATAAAAACTAAAATCAGGTTTATAAAAAAATGGATGACTTCATCTTTGCTGAATTCAATTAACGAAAAAAATGAACTTCACAAATTATCTCTAAAATATCCGCAAAATGAAGAATTGAAAGAAAGGTATAAAAATTACAAAACCAAGATCGAAAAATTAACTAAACAAGCAAAAAAAGAT